ATGAACATCATTTACCAAAGCATTTGTTGGAATCTTGTGAAATTGAATATATTCAAGGAAGTTGCCGATTATATCTTTCAACGGTGTATCTTGATTACTGTCATAGTATTTCTTGCTCCACATCAAGGCTGCCTAAAATATAAGATAGTAAAAAGATTACGATATATATATATATATATATATATATATATATATATATTTAATTGAGAGATTAATACGGGTATTATGAATAGTGACAAATAAAGTCGAGTAATAAATTTCAGTGTTAGAATCTTTTTAGATACTTTTTTACAATAAATTTATTCCAATGTCCAATAATAGAAACATATTATTTTATTAATGTAACTAATATAATATGAACGTATTGTTTTGAAATATTGTTAAATAATTCATAAAAAATTAATAATACTTAATGATGAAGTGTAATTCCTTTTTTTTTTTCTTATCAAAACAAATTGTCCAAAGGGGAGTGTAGCTTTATTCGTAACATCTGGTCAATTTAATAAATTAATCAATATCTAACAGGCTGCGCTGTCGTTTTAGTCATTATTCATAATACCCGGGTATTATTAGTCGCTTGATTCATAACATTTATATATATATATATATATATATATATATATATATATATATTATTTCGCTTTCTAGAATATTTTTTTTTCACTTACTTGAAACTTGGTAAACTCGTCAGCACGCAACTCTTCTCTTGCTAAAATCAAACGAACAACGTGTTGAGGCAACAACGTGAAAGATCCTAAGTTCAACACTTCGTTCCCATGTTCGTCTACGAACTCTAATACCTTCAAATAGAAAATAAATAAAAACATTTATTACATTACAAGTCAAAAATGTCATATGGATTTATCATTTTTAAATTATCAATTCTATCTTATCGAAGATTAATCTTATCTGGTAGAACTAATATTTTGTAAATTGATTTCGTTTGAAGATGCTTTGGCAATGTATATAAGGAATTAAATAAATTTTTCAAAATTAGAAAAATATATATCGTAACAGTAAGATAAGATAGTTTGAAAATTTGTTTTACCTTTTGAACCAAAGATTTGGTGCATTTGTATTGTATATAACGTTCAGCCGAGGCTAAGAGCGCACAAACTGTGTCGACGGTTATGCAACATTGAACGAATCCAGCACAGGCTTTTCTAAGTTCGTCGAGTCCATAATAATCGGCGGCATTCATGACACCTGTATAAATGAAAAAGTCGATCGATCGGACTCGGTAACGCATAAAGTATTGATTATTAGTATTAGTCAGGGTGGAACAAACACATGCTCGTGTTCCCTATCAACGAAATGTTTACCATACGTTAATTTATCGGGTATCGATTACCTCGCATAGCCATCGACAATAATAGATTCGAGATCGACGATCGATCGATCGTTCTCTCTCTCTCTCTCTCTCTCTCTCTCTCTCTCTCTCTCTCTCTCTCTCTCTGTCTTTTTTATATATATATTTAAGTAGTAAATAATAAACAGTAGAAAGTGAAAACAAAATTCATTATCTTTCTGGTTTATATATTATCAATATAACCATTTCGAAAGTTAGATAGTTATATAAATTAAACAACATTCATCAGGATGGTCGTGTTACACCGATAAGCTATCGCCAATGTTCAATTTAATCAAAGATAATAGTATTATTTAATTACCCAACAGTGTTCTTGGTTGTAGAGTGACGCAACCGGTATGAATGTACTCGATGAGCTGACGAAAAACATCCGGCTCGAACTCCTCAATGATCAGAGTATGATGTTGATTCGATTGCGGCTACGAGCATGGAATTCAATGTTTCTTAATTAAGATCGAACTTGCGCGTAATATCAAATGGCGAGATTCGTTTAGATCTTTATAAATCATGCTTAAGCTATTACACCAGCATAGGTGCATTTATTTTTTTATTTTTTTTTTTTCTTTACTTTTTACCCATTGCTCCGATGATACATTCATTTTCTTAGTTCTTTTTTTTTTTTTTTTTTTTTTTAATTTAAATTTTCAAAGTTAGACTTCGTTTAGATTTCTAAAGAATTGATCGAAATTGTGTCAATGGGTAAAAATGAAGGTCATTCAAATATTTGATCATTTTGATATAAAGTACGAATAGATATAATGAACGATGCAACGATATTAATCAAAACCAAATCTACCGTGCTTCAAGCATTAGAATTGTGCTTAATAAATTTTCTATAGAGAATTATATACACATAAAAAAAAAAAAGAGAAAATTGAAGAAAAAGAAATAAGAATTCACAAGATTTTACTCGCTCATACAGAGAAATCGTAAAAATGTAATACCACGTATGCATATATATACTACATACTTATCTCATAAATTGGATATCTTTAAATTGGTTTGATATTGATATTTCATAAAGGCATTGTAAAAGAGAAGCGTGCAAGATTTGATACGCCGAAAAAGAAATTGAAAAATCAAACAAGATGAAATATATATATCACATGCAATTTCGAATCGATTTGAAAAGAAGAAAAAAAAAAAAGAAAAAGAAAACTAAATAGATACTAAGTATCCGAATCTCTCGACACAAATTGAATTCGTAATATACACTTACGATAAATCAATATCAACGTCTACGAAAGAAAGAAGGAAAAAACAAAAAATATAGAAAGAAAAGAAAAAAAGGAAGATGGGGCGTGACATTTACTAAAAGATCTTTACCAATTCGATCTACTTGTGTATTAATAAATTTTCATGAAAGATCATTCGAAGAAGAGAGAATTGTAAGTGCTGTGTGCAATAAGAATTTCTATGGAAAAATCTTATGCGATCTTTTAAGAAGTACCTCTTGTATGGGTGCCAGCTGCTGCGTAAACCCTGATCGCTGTTTGACACATAACAAATGCACACTTACTATATCTCGCCATAATCACTAATTTTATAGAAAAAGAAGAAAAGAAAAATACGTTCGGATGTTGCTTCTTTAATACGTACAATTAATATATATATATATATATATATATATATATATATATATATATATATATATGTATTATAAAGAGTATCTCATCTGATATTTTTCAAAATTATTTTACACATAGACACACAAACGTCTCATATGTACATATAGATACATACAAAGGATAAATCCTAGGATAAATGGGAAATAATTTAATGATGACTTTAGAATATCAAAATAATCAAAAATGTTCATACAACATTATATGTCCTATTTGACATATTCTTTTTTCTTTTTTTCGCGTTACAACGAATTTAATTTTAAACGAACTCTATCTGTTCACTTTCATGAAAGATTTTTAAAATGCATTTCCATACAATGCATCTCCATACATATGTCTTATCAATGATCGTCTCATTCACTTCATATGCTCGTATTTATATTGGAAACTTTGTTCAATTCTTTCACGTAAACTTTCAATACTGTCAATAGACATTTTGTATACAATGAATTACAAATAAGTCCGCTAGTAGAAATCCATTGGATTTAAGTGAACCGAGTAAATCAGGCGATAGAAACTTCACGATCTATATATTTGTTTGAAAATCGTTTCTTCAGAAATTGTCTAAAAATTCATTTAAAATCCATCTAACGAAAGGATAAATTGCGATTAAAAAAAAAAAGAAAAAAGAAAAAAAGAAAAAGGAAATCAATGTCAAACGTCACACATACGTTTATATGAACTTTTTATATTATTTTGATTTATCGAAGACAATCTTAAAATATTTCTCAGCTTATTCCGGGACACCTTGTATATATAGAACGTACGTTCCATATAAGGAATTCTTCGCAAGGTTGACCGCAAGGATTCCAACGTCCAAACTAATCGATTAATTTACCTGCTGTGCCGCGTTTTGCAAGTTCAGCAAAGGTTCGGAGCTTCTCTTTAAAAAGAGTCGTATCTTGTTCTCTCTCGTTGGCGCTTCTTTCTTCCGTTGAGGACTTGGTGCTTGGTATAACATTTTATGAAAAACTCTGTGAATCAAAAAACAAAGGAAAAAAAAAAGAAAAAAAAAAAGAAAAAAAGAACAAAAAAAAAAACAAAATTAATTCCTTTTCTTTCTCTTCTTTGTTTTTTTTTTTTCTCTCGAAGTTTCACGAACGACCAAAAGATCAAGTCGTTCTTTTCTTTTTTTTCTTTTTCTTTTCGAACAAAAAGACATAAAAATAGGAAAGAGAGGAGAGGGACAAAAAAAAAAAAGAAAAAACAAGAAAAATGTTGATACACACGATACTAACCTACTTCTAGCGGCGAGGACAGCCTTTACGGCGCAAACAGGCTCTCTCGTGTCACCAACGAGAAAAGTGACATCGCAAAGTTCTGGCATGCTCGCCAGAAACTTCATGTCTTCGGCGAGACCGGTCTTATTCTCAAAGGTCGAATAATCCGACTCATCGACCACCCGCGATCCCGAAGCTTCCGGCATCGGGCTTGTGCTTTCCTAAAAGAAGAAAGAAAGAAAGAAAGAAAGAAAGAAAGAAAGAAAGAAAGAAAGAAAGAAAAGAGAAGAAAAGAAAAGAAAAAAAAAAGAAAAAGAAAAAAAAATGAATAAAAAGAGAATAAAAATGATTAAAATATAAATTAATTAAAAATAGAAGAGAGAGAGAAAAAAAAAAGAAGAACGATCATAGTTTAAAAATTCTCTCTTCAATGAACGACCAATAATAAATTATAACGAGCCTTTTATCGAGGAGAAAAATCACTAGTAATAAATTCGTCGATAGATTCTTATATCCTATTCCTTTCCTCCCACTTTCCACTCCCATCCCACCAACAAATCTATCTCCATCTCTTTCTTTTTCTTTCATTCTACCTTCCCTTTGCGAGATCGAATTATTTCTTCGTATAGCAAACCAATTTTTCATTCGCCACACGATTAACCTATTTTAAACATAGAAATCTTCCAATCCTCCCCTCCCCTCCTCCCCCACCTCCTCCACCTTCACTCCCTGATCATATACTTTCTTTCACGACTGTGCAAAAAAAAGGAAAGAAAAAGAAAAAAAAAAAAAACAAAAAGAAACCTTCAAATAATCGTAGCGTGAGTCAAGAACATTAGGACATTATCTACGATGTATCACGATTTATTTATTTGATTTATCTAACGATCCATTTAATAACAAAAATATTGAAAATAAATTATAACGTTTTACGATCAGATTGATTAAAGATTCTCGTTAAGGTATTAATTATGAAACAAATAAATAAGAGATTAATGCCATAGTTCGTATAAAATCGATTATTGGACAAAGATGGAAAACAATGTACAACCCTTGATTCTCGATCAACCCTCTATCCTACTATCGCCCTCTCGAAAAGTCGAACTAGAGGAAGTCAAGTAAAAGTAGTGTCCCAAAGAAAGTATAGGAAAATTACCTGTTGCTCGAGTCCCGGAGCCCGCTCGCTCGCCGGGCTACTTTTGCCCCGTAAAAACACTTTTACCCAGCTAACTTTTGTCTCTCGATTCACGCACACCCCACCGTGTTCATGTTCCTCGACGCTTTCGGCCACGGTTTAAAACTCTCGGAAGGGCATCTCTTCTCTGCTATTGAATGTTTCTTTCAAGATTTAAAACGATACAATTGGTAGAGGATTTAAACAAAACAAGCAGGATGAAAAGAGAAAAATGGCTTGAAACTTTGCGTACGATAACCTCTCTCGATAGATCTCTCTCGTTCTCTCTCTCTCTCTCTCTATCGTTCTCTCACACATACATACACACAGAGATATACACAGCAGACGTACACAGACAGACACAGACACAAACGCGCACACACGCTCCACCTATCTCCCACGAGCTCTACAAATGAACTCTCCCAGCAGCCTTTCTTTCACTAACGAAAAACTTTTCTCTTCTAATGCTTGCCAAGAGAAATGAAACTTGAGGATTCTTATTGAGGTTTCTTTCACTTGAAAAGAATCCCGTGAATAGAAGAGAGAGAGAGAGAGAGAGAGAGAGAGAGAGAGAGGGTGAAGAGAAAGAGAGAAAAATTAATAGACGGTAATCTTTGCAAGGAAGAAAAATTCTCGTTAACGAAATAAACTGAACTGTTTCTGTGGTCACGCGTTTTTTTTCCCCAATAAAAACTAGTTTTGCAAGATGGTTCGAATGAACGAATAAACGTCGCGAACCCAACAAAAGAGTGCTTTCCAGTTCTGTACGCTTCGACTTACGAAGAGCAACCTCTACTTGTCTCTATCTATCTTTCTCTCGCTACCCTCCCGAAGCTCTGAAAAGCTCAACTAATGCGCAGCCGCAATGAACGGGAATCGCTTCGCGTCGGCGTAAACAAGGCGCAAGGACGTCCGCTTTAACGGGAGGTCCTTTTTTTTTTTTATTCTCTTTATCGTCTTTCAAATTACCACTTATCACAGTGTCGGTACCATCTTCTTTGAAATTTATCAACCGATCCAATTTGCCTTTAAAACGATTTATACGAAAGGTACTACTCGATATACGTAACGTCAATAAATACTTTGTTATTTGATATTAAAGATTTATTTGTTTCATCTTTTTTTTTTTTTGTTCATTTTTTAATGATCTTTCATCTTCGAAATATCTCTTACATTCGAAAAAATAAATCACAAGAGGAAAAAGTTGAATAAAATAAAAGAAAAAGAAAAATGACAAACTTATGCGCTCTTATTTTCTTCCTTCTTTTCTGCTTCTTCTTCTTCTTTTCTTTTTTTTTTTTTTCTTTTTTTCTTTACATATAGTACAAACATTGGTTAAAAAAGGTAACGTAAGAAATTAATTCCTTTTGTTTTCTTTCTTTCGTCTTTTTCTTCGTTTCTTTTTTTTAGACAACGATGGAAATTAGATTAAATAAGAAAATCATAAATGTTCGCATCAACTTTGGACGAATCCTCTGCCGATAGATATTCGGTTATGACGCGAGTGTAACGAAAGTGAAGGTAAACGTGAACTCGATGTCGATGAGAATCCGGGTCAAGCTCAAAATCCGTACCGGTGTGTAGATCGGAGCCATTCACGTAGATGGTAGAAAACGCGTCGTCTCTCTTCGACCACCTCTATCCTTCTCCGGTAATCAATAGCGCTTGGTTCCGCAACAAGTAGTACATGTCGACCGTGCATAACAAAATATCGACAAAAATATCAAAAACCTGACCTTATGATCTTTATCATATTTTCCTCTTTTCTCAGATTTTTCTGGGATCTTTAAAAATAATTCAAGGAGATCGAATTCTCCCTCTCCCTCTCCCTCTCTCTATCTCTAATAAACGTCGATATTGCATGTATATATAAAATTCAACAACAACAACAACAACAACAAAAACAACAACAAAAAAGAAATTATAAATAAATAAAGAAAATAAAGAAAATTAAAAATAGATCGAGTTTGTTATCAGACGCTTGACGAAAATAATAAAAAAAAAAAACAACGATTGAAGTTGGGACGAGATGATCAATTTTTTAGGTCTATCATCAAAGCGATAAATATAAATATTTTGAAATAAACATGCAAGGAAGAATAGATAATGCGATATATCGAGTTTGTTGTACCATAGAATCATGGAGTTGATCGTTGAATCGCCTTAGAGAATACTTCGAGGGAGAATGTCGTCGTTGTCGTCGACGTCGACGACAACGACGACGCTTGCGCGAGAATAACGAGCGATTTCATTCTCGTTTCCGTAGCAGCCACCTCGATAGATGGCCTTCGTTCAAGCAACGATGGACTAGCAAAAGGATAAGAAAAATCATTTCGGAGAGGATTTTTTTGTTATTGGAAGATGATCTTTTCAAAATATAAACTTCTACCTTCTTATACGATCTATATGGAATGACGATCCTTAATATCGTCCGAGGCGATCGATTATTTTGAAAAGTGAGGATGTATTTACATATATATATCTACATTTTAGGACAATTAGATAATTTCTTTACTAAGAAAAGAATCGTCATTGATTACATTTATCGTTAATTCCCTCGCATGTGCTCTTCCATTCTTCTTACTTTTCTTTTTCTTTTTTTCTTTTTTTTTTCTTTTTTTTTTTTTTTTTTTTCTTTACACGCAAATAGATATGTTGTTACGTCAAAATGATCGATTAAATGCATCGGTCTTAATAATCGCTTGTGTATTTGTGGACAAAGAAGACGAGAATGTGCTATGATGACTGGCACGATAACATTGAGACGATAACGATGACGATGGCGATGATAACGATGATCGATATACGTTAGTAATAACATAAAACACAACACATCGACTTTATTCAACACAAATACTTTGCAAGAGGGTTATGTGATATAGACGTTTCGTAGATGATGAATAATAATATTAATTCAATATTCATATTTATATATACACGAAATAAGGCACGTTCGATATTTAATATTTATATCCGCGTGACGTAGATCGTATCGAAGGAAGACGAGCTTCGTCGCAACGTTCAAATATGTTCTATATATTTTCTTGTCTTTTTGTTATAACTTTTTCATCTAACGCGATATGCAACATCCTTACCAAATGTAGAAAATGTCGTATGTATAATATATATACATATACATATACTTTATGTATATATATATAATATATGTATATATCTATCTGTATATAAATGTCTTTTGAATTACACGCACAATCAATCCATTTACATGTCGGCCCTTTTGTTATGTCTCGTAGAAAAAGAAATAACTCTACTTTTTATTCCTTTTTTATTTAAAATTATTTAAAACCTTTCGACCGATTGAAGTCGCACTTTATCGATGAAAATGGTCCGTGCGACTTTTACGGATTATTCTCCTTTTTTTTTTGTTTTCCTCCTCTCTTTTACTTTTTTCTATTCTTTATTTTTCTTTTTCTTTTTTCTTTTTTTTTTCCTTTTTCTTCTTTTTTTTCTTTTTCTTTTTCGGATGAAGCGAATGAAAAAGTTTTCGTCACGACTACCATGGAGAAATTACTAATTACTTAGATATAATTAAGCACTCGCCAAAAATCGGACGAACACGGGCGATACTCGCGCACTCTTTCTCTTTCTTTCTTTCACTCTTTTTTTGTTTTTTTTTTTTCTTTTCTTTCCGTTCTTTTTTTTTTTTGTCCCTTAACATCCTCTTAAGTCATTATTCTTATAAATGCATTTACTTGACCCCTTTTTTCTTCGGTTCATTTTTTCACACGCACTCATACACCCACAATAATAATACGCATACATACTTCGTATCGCTAAGTATTACGACCGATAATCCTCGAAATCGTAAATACGATCCTTCTCTCGAAAGTTATCCTCGATGAATCTTAAAATATTGTCTCTTGAACGACATACGGATTTATAATTTACGATAGTTAATGAACATTTGTTGGATGTGTAGTATAAAGGTTTAAACGCTCGTTATTGTTTTTTTTTTTTTTTAAATTATATAAAAATCGATATGTAAGAACGATATCGTTTCTACGCAATTCTGACGAATGAAAACGAGATCGCGGGATATGTAATTGGTTCGTAGTTGATTCTAAACGTATGATATCTTGTTGTTTGGATGAAAAAATTTTATACACGCATACAATAAAAAAAAAAAAAAAAAAAAAAAAAAAAAGAAAAAAAAGAAAGAGAAAACGAATCTATATCAAATCACGGACGATCGCTCGTGATTCTACCGTTTACTTGGAAAATGGCATGTTCGAGAATGTGTTATCGGGGCAAACGGTATTCACGATTTCGTTGGCACGCAAAGTATTCGCGAATCGCAATCGCAAATGGAATTTCAATATAATCTCGTTAGGCGCAAAACGTGTTCTTAATATTAAAACATATGACCTATACGAGAGAAATCTTCTTGAAGATCGTCACGATCCGGATAATAATTATTCTTAGAATTAATTATGTGACGATCTACACGAGCTGGCATCATCGAAGTAGAATATTATTTTACAATAAATATACATAAATCGCTCGTGCCTTTTTCCTCTATTATTATCGCACAACATATTCCATTCTTTCTTTTTAGGAAGATAAATGAAAAAATACAAAACAAAAAAAAAATAAAAATAAAAATAAAGAACGAACAACTCGCACGCGCACGACATTAGAAATGTTCTCTCCTCGTGAAACTGTCTATAAACTTGTTCGGACTACTAAACTTGGAATGTTTATTTTTTATTTTTACTTCTTTTTTCCTTTTTTTTTTGTTTTTTTTTCAATATATATATATATATATATATATTTTTTTTTTTTTCTTTGCGTCTACCTCGATGAACGATCGATGGACGCTCGTCGATCTACGTACAATAATATCTCTTACGTTCAAATCAGACGCATCCTTCGAATCGAATGAAATACAAGAAGAATCTAACGACTTTTCTATGTACGTTGTCTCTCAAAATTTTCGTATACGCGTCGTTCAAGGCAAGAACGAATATTCCGACAAGCGAAATTCGTTTTATCGAGGTCGTCGCATTGTAAAATATCATTTCTCTCTTTTCATATTCGTCGTTCATTAAAAATACACATACATATACACACATTTCATCATTAATGTAAATTATTTACTTATTGAAAATCATCGAGAATATCGATTATAAAATAAAACGTTATGAAATAAAAATTTTTTTGTATCTCGATGATTCGCAATGAGTTCTTAGAAAAAAAAAAAAAAAAAAAAAGAAAGAAAAAAGGAAGAAAGAAAGAAAACGAAGTACAAAAACAAAAATCAAAAAAGAAAATAAAAAAAAAGATAGATAGATAGATAGAGATAGATAGATAGAGATAGATAGAGAGAGAGAGAGAGAGAGAGAGAGAGAGAGAGAAAAGTCGAAGACAAATTTCTAATTTCTAAAAAACTATTTCAACGATTTTTGTTTGAACGTCGATCGTTAATTTCAATTTATAAATTCTTGTATTGTACGTCGCAGCATAAAATATGTGCCTATCTTCCGAAGCGAGTCTTGCCAACGGAAAATTTTTGCCCGTAGAGAAATGGGACGACTTGTTTGGGAAATTGAAGTGGAACGTTGGATCGACGACGGGAGTACGCGCGATATCACAGCTTCGAGGGATCGTAGTTCTCGAAGGACCACCTCTGTCGGGGTTCAGACGGCGAACATTCCTCCATCAGCAATCGTTGCTTGCTTTCGGTGATTGCCAAACATTTGTCGCTACTACCGTGCCTGATCTGCTTCGTCTAAAACATAAATAATCGAATCAATCATAAATTTTCAAAAAGTGTTCTGAAAGAAATCGCATCGTACAGAAGTAAAAGAGTGGCTTTGTTTTTTTTCCTTTTTAGTATCGTAATAAGAAAGAAAAAAAGAAAAAAAGAAAAGAAATAAAGAATAAAAGAAAATTGTACCTGAGAATTATAAATCCATTGTTGATTTCCTTTACTCCCGTGACAAGGATAAAGAATGACATCCTGGCCGCTGTAATCCAGACAGGATTCGTCTCTACGGATTTCACCGATCTTGCTCAACATCCAGTACTGCGACAAAGGATCAATGTTAAAAACCAATCCGATAGATATTATCCAGAATCGAAAAGCAAAAGATTTGTTAGTGCTGATAAAATAAAAGTACGATGATTCCGATAACGAAAAAAGCTTTGAATTTATATACATTCACTGTGTAGCTGATGAAATATATATATATATATATTGTCGACGATACTGTCAACTTTCTGATAAAGAAATTAGCTTCTTTGAAAAAACGAGCTTGAAAATTAACACTACGAGAAATGTCAGGTAGCGTTAACATGCGGGTATTCCTTTCTCTCTGATAGATTTACTTTTTCCTTTCGTATGAAGTCGGATTACGAAGTACAACGTCAAAGCGTTGCTAATCAGTACCAATCGTCGATAATCGAATCCGATGGTCCTCGAAATTGCATCGATTTACACGAGCCCCTACGTTCAGTTTCCGTTTGTGCAATTCCAACCGATTGGAATGGAACTTTGGTAAAACGAGCGTACGAATTCCCGGAAATGTCGAGTTCTTCTTCAAAGGCAATGTACCATCGAAAGTACGACAGGGATTTTCCTTTAGAAAGTATATTGCGTTTGGAACAAGATTAAACAAAAAAAAAAAAAAAGATATATATATAAAAGGAAAAAGAAAATGATCTATATATCGTTAAATTGATATGTTAATATATACCATAGCAATTGATATTTTATATCGTTGTCGGAATCATTTCAAGTTTACGTACATGATACACAGAGATAAAAATAGAATAAAAAAAAAAAGAGAAAATGAAAGAGAAAGAGTGAGAGAGAGAGAGAGAGAGAGAAAGAGAGACAGATAGGGATGAGGAAGAGAGTAAGTACAATAGAAACAATTAGAATTTACAGGCTTTTGGGATAACGAGAAGCAAGAAATCGTGGCAAGCATGCATTATACCGAGATGTTATTAGCCATGCGTCACACTCTCTATGCTTCGTGGATAGAAAGGAAATGTGTCGGCAAATATCATTATGCGTGCGCGACAATATAATTTCGCTAACGAGATTGCACATTTGATCGTCGACGAGCCGTTCGTCGTACAATTATTAATTAATAACGCGTTTATACGTGGACATTGTTGTCGGTGGTTACAAAAAAAAAAAAAAAAAAAAAAAAAAAAGAAAACAAAAAAAAAAGTAGTAAAAAGAAATTGCAAAAGAAATAGAAAAAGCATAAAAGTCCTCTTCTTTTCTTTTTTTTTTTAAACATATTTTTCTCATTTTTTTTTTCTTCCTTTCTTTTAAGTATGAAAATTGAAAATTTACTATAGAATTGGTAATGAAAGGACTTTCATAAATTTCATAATCTTCAAATTGGTAAAATAAATTCGTTAAAATGTGAAATACGTAATTGTAAACGGCGATTTTGTTTGAAATGAAGAAATGGAAATATTAAATTGTATGGATCGCATTGCACTGAGTGACGACTAATTGTTTTGGCAATTATATAGCGAGGACGTATTCGTTGAAATTGTTAAACACGAATGAGAGCTTTTTTATTCGACACTATGGAAAAAGATCCAGTAACAAGAGTTTTCTACGGCTGTCGTTAATAATAAACTGGCGGCTTGACGAAAAGCAAGAACACGTGAGTGCACACTAAGAAAAGAGTTGGAAATTTGCAGAGAGAGAAAGAGAGAGAGAGAGAGAGAGAGAGAGAGAGAGAAAGAGAGGGGGGAAGGGACGGAGGGGAGAGAAAGAGAAAAAAAGGAAAAAAAAAGAAAACGAATAGTTAAAATACGTAATTCTCAAAAGTTACGCAAGTAAGTAGAGCGCGAACGAAATTGTACATTCTACGATCATCCAAGAAAAGATTTGTCGGACCATAATCCATTTCGTTTACCGTAAAAGATTAGAAGAATTAAGAAAAATAAAGGGAACAAAATGTTTCGGTATGCATTATCTTTTACAAAAATTATATATATAAAGAAAAAAAGAAAAAAAAAAAAAAAAAAAAAAAAAAAAGAAAAGCTTAAAAGCTTACGTTATCGAACTAACAATAATAATAAAAGATGAGATGAAGATTAAAGATTTTCAAAAGCTTTTCTATCTTTTCTTATTACTTTATTTATTGATTTATTGATTTATTGATTTATTTTCTTTTATCTTCTTCTTTTTTTTTTCTTTTTTTATATTTTATTACTTCATTTTATATCTTGCTTCTTCGATATCATTTAAAGAAGGAAACGTCATTCGCGCCGGTATTACCATTCAAAATTACAACGAGAATTCCCCTTTACATCGATCGTTCAGAAATTATAAACGACGACAGGAAATGGATAGCTACGCCAACAGAGAATGCTGTTATAGATCGTCGCACCGACAGGAGGTACGACGATTGATGAGCACCCGTACCAGATTAGCGACGTTACTAATTACGTTAAACGAGCCAAGATTAACGACGATCTAACGGACGTGTCCTCTCTTTATTCTTTCATTTATTTCCTTCTTTCATATTCTTATTCTTCGTATTATTATGAATTGAAAAGAAAATCAGAAAATCTGTTTCCGACGATTTTCTTCTTGATTTTCTTTCTTTTTTCTCGTTTCTTTTTTTTCGTCCTTTCTTTTTTTTTTTTTTTTTGTTAACAATAAATTTACGATAAAAACAACAATTTTTTCTAAATACCGACACCACCAACAGAGTTAATAATAATAATAATAATAATAATAATAATAATAATAATAATAATAATAATAATAATAATAATAATAATAATAATAATAATAAAAAAATAACATTAACTAATCACACATATACCCCCGAAACTAAAAATACGAGATAGGAGTTAGTAAGTAAGACACCGCGTGCCCCGAAATACTAATTCGTTGTTATTTATTTTTCCCCTTTGTACCGCGACGTGTCCAGATTCGTGTACCTGATTGCCGCCTTGTCGGTGACAAGGATATAAGCCCACGGCCTGGTGCAGGTCTTCCGGTTTTCCTGGCGAGTCTATACATATTCCGCTAGCGAGCTGTCTTATCTGCGTTTAACAATTCGATACAAAATTTTTTTGATTTTTTTGTTTCTTACTTTCTTTTTCTATCACATAATTGACATATGTGTCTTTGATCGTACGATCGCTATTTTATTATCTTTTCTTATTCTTCCATTTTCTTACGACTAAAACACATAAGCGTATCCCTAAGCTAACTTTCCTTGGTCCTCCTTCCATTCGTTGGAAAGTACAGCATGGAAGAGAGAGAGAGAGAGAAAGAGAAAGAGAAAGAGAAAGAGAGAGAGAGAGAGAGAGAGAAAGAGAGAGAGAAACAAACAAACATAGATCACATAAGATCGTGCAGTATGCAAAGGTTATATACAAAAACATTGTTACTACGTTATAGATCGACGATTAAACGACGATATCATGCATCTTGTCGATTCGAGTATTATTCCATTTGTTTATTATTATTTTTCTCTTGTACGAATTAAAAAAGAAGAAGAGAAAAAAAAATTGAAAAAATAAACGAAAAGTTCGTTTTCTTTTCAAATCGAATCAAATCGAGACAAAGATGCGAGAGATCGTAGTTCTTTTCTTTTTTTTTTCCTCAGACACAAAAATACGAACGACGTGAAAAAAGTATAGAAAAGAAACGGCGAGTTTTCATGAAAGATCGATGGAAGACGAAAATTCGTTCAGCTGGTATATCCATTCTACCTGATTTCCTCCTTGTCGATGGCACGGGTAGAGTCCGGCTGCCTTATGCAAATCAGCCTTTCGTGCCGGGGAATCCAAGCAGGTGTTGCCTCCTTCTCCAAGATTACGTACCTGCCGTCGTTTAATGTTAGTACGATTATATCTCTAGGATTAATATCATTATTAACATCATTAGTAACGATTAGTTCAATTCAACGTATCTATGGAACAGAAAGAGAAAGAGAGAGAGACAGAGAGACAGAGAGACAGAGAGAGAGAGAGAGAGAGAAAGAGAGAGAGAAAGAGAAAAAAAGAAAGAGACAAAGAAAGATTCCATTCGGTATTCCTGAAATAAAATCAAACAAAATATTATAAACGATACAAAAATATAACGATTATTCTCATTATGATATCTCCAAGTAATTCTCGAAAAAAATATCTGAAAGAAAGGAAAAAAGAAAGACAGGAATAAAATAAGACAAAAAAAAGAAAAAAAGAAGAGAGAAGAAAAAAGATAAAAGCACGAATGATATATCAATCGTGTATGCATAGCTTTGTCAGTGAAATATAAATGGGGAGGTGGGGATGAGGGGGGGAGAGAAGGTGAGGGGAGAGGGGAAAAAAGAAAAAAGAAAAAGAAATTTCTCATTTTCCAAGCGAGTCCCATGTGAATTATCATTTCAAAAAGAAAGGATGCAAACTAAGTGCGCTTAAGGGAAGAATGTTTACAACATTGTGCGATAAATATTCGTTCTTCTCTAGTCGCCTTATAAAAATTACGCTGTCGCACCGAGTTAACGAAGATAGTAGAGGGATCGAATGAAAATGCTCTCGACATTTTTATCGCCTCCCCTTTTCTCATTTTTTGCCTTCGCCAGTGCTTTTTTATTCCGAGTACAGGGGATACTGGAAGAAAAAAAGAAATAAAGAAAAGGAAGGAGAACTAGAGACAAAGATAGAGAGACATAGAGACATAGAGACATAGAGACATAGAGAGATAGAGAGAGAGAGAGAGAGAGAGAGAGAGAGAGAGAGAGAGAGAGAGAGAGAGAGAGAGAGAGAGAGAGAGAGAGAGAGAGAGAAGAAAGAAATAGAGAAAGAAATTGGGAAAAAGTCAGGACTACATGGCCGTACGATCGAACTGTCTCATTTTTCAAGCGGAAGCTGAAACCAAATCGGCAACGAGAAAACGAAGCCCCCGAACTTTACGTCGAAAGAAATCCTCGCGAGCGAGCGCGCGCGAACGTGTGTACCATGAACGTGGGCGCGCGCGCGCACACAAACACACACACACGCATGCACATACGTATCTAAGTATCTACGTGTCTACGTAAAATGCATTCAGTCACGAAGCTCGGTCAGCAGTCCTGATTTTACTGACACGCAAGAATTCTGTGGTCGTTGCAGTTTCAAATGCGAGCATCTTCATCTTTCTCTCCTTTTTCTCCGTCTACCTCGGGCACTCTCTATCCTCTCCTTTTTCTCTTTTCATATCATGCCTGCTCCTCCTACTTTACTTCTTCTTCCTATTCTTCGTTCTTTCGTCGTCGTCGTCGTCGTCGTCCGTCGTCATCGTCTTTGTCGTCCTACTTTTAGTCGTAGTCGTAGTCGTGGTCTTACTCGTTATAGTCATAGTCATAGTTTTAGTCGTCGTAGTCGCATTGGTTTTAAATTAAAATAAAAACTAAGTGACTTATCGCTAACTCATCCGATAGTTACTTGAAATTTTCAAGACGCGGTCAGGGATTCTCGGCTACGGTCCGATTCGGGCAAACGAAAAGAGATTTTGAAATAACCCGAGGCTGTCCCACCAACTCTCTATCGCAACCTTTTTCCAGCCTGCTGGACGTGCGAGAATTTCTCAATGCGAAGAGCGTTGATCTTTCGACGTCAATGTAAAAAGAAAAAGAAAAAAAAAAGAAAAAAAAAAGAAAAAGAAAGACCGTTTCCTTTCACGATTTATCCAAGAAAATTTCGACGAAGACGAAGAGATAATTTGAAAATAATTTTTTACGTTGGAGTTCAAAAAAGGAAAAAAAAAGGAAGAAAGAAAGAAAGAAAGAAAAGAACGAGAAAAAAGAACAAGAAATGAGAAATAAACGAATCAATATCGAACGCTATACGATCTAATAATTTCAAACGTTTGCTCGGAAGGTTGCCTGGCCGGTGTCGAAACGTGAGGAAGTTGCGTTGCACGAGGCACACAAAAAAGATAGAAAAGAAGGAGAGAAAGAGAGAGAGAGAGAGAGAGAGAACGTTCGAAACGACTCGAAAATCGCATTTACCTTCCCCCTTCTCTTCTCACCTTCGCCTACCGACTAAACCTCGTCTCGTTTGTCGAGGCTCACGTACGAAGCGTAACACGTGCAATGGAAATTATTCACGCTGTGCACGATTTCTGGACAGGCTCGTCGAGCAGCGACTACTATAAATCCTCTCCACCCCTTGCCACCCCATTTATCCATCCTAGCATGCGACGGTCGTCTCACCGATGCGCGAGAAGAGGCGTCAACGTGATTTAGTGGAAGATCGGCGCTTCCCTTTGACCAAAAAAGAAAAAGAAACGAAAGAGGGAGAGAGAGAGAGAGAGAGAGAAAAAGAGAGAGACGAAAGGATGGATTAGAAGGAAAGGGGACTCAGGATCGCGATGAGAATCGGGGACGGTGGGGAGTTTATGGCACGTAAAAAAAAATGGAAAAAGAAGAAAAAGGAAAAGATTTGCTCCTTCGAAGCAAAGAGTACGAGAGTGACGACAAGGAGGAAGAGGAAGAAGAAGAAGAGGAGGAGGAGGAAGAGGAGGAGAGAAAAGGATAAGAGGAATGACGGGGTCGGCGGCTTCGTGCCTTTCGAGCATGGAAATTGTTATTTTGCATGTCGAGACATTCCGGAACGTAGCGAGAAGCCGCGTGCAATGCTTTTTCCTGAATATATCTGCTCATTCTTTAATCTCTTCTTCCTTTTTATCGTCTATCCTTTACAACCACTTCCCAACCTACCTCCCTCCCTCCCTTCCACCCCTTCATTCCTCCCCACCTATCCTTCCAACCCTTTTCGTCCCATCTACCTCCAACTCGCTATCCACACTCTTGCTGTCTCTAGGAAAAATATTGGAGAACGCGTTCCCTATTCTATATAACGCTTCGAAATACGTCGGATGTTGGATACCAGAGAAGAGAAGAGAAGAGAAAGGCAAGGGAAGAAAAGGAAAGGAAAGAAAAGAAAAGAAAAAGAAAAAAGGAAAAATGATGGGGCGGGAGCGGTGATAGGTAGGGGAAAGAGGGATAAAATAACGCTCGATACCATTCGCACAACTCCACACCGGATTCCGTTGGCTGCTATTATCATGTTCGATCGACGGACGTATTGCTTTCAAGACGCGCTTTTCCATTGGCCAATAAGAACGAAACGGAAATTGCTCGACGAATTTCCGAACAATAATAGGGTATCGATAAAGAAACGTTTCTTTTTATTAATTTAAGCATTAAATCGATTTAGAAAAATATAGATAGGTTTTATTGGACTTTGATGTCAATTGAAATAGCTTAATCATTACTATTTCACTGAACGAAATGACACGCGTTATACAAGATCGATCGTTTAGCGATTACGAATGCGAGAGGAGTGTCTCCGTGGTACGGATATAAATCAAGATCGTGACTGATCGTTAGTAACGAGGGAGAAATTAAAACTGTATTGCTAGAACAGTCCCTGCGAGAAATCAAAATCAAATCGGTTTAGACGGTTACACATTTGAGGATATCGATAATCTCGATTTTGATCAAGCACATACTAGAAGAATCGTAAAATAATAAATCTTTCAAACATTTCGCACGGTCATTCAGTTATTGATATATTTATCCGTTTCTTTCCTTTAATATAGAAGACGGATATATATAAAAGATCGACTCTTGTACAATATCGATACGCTCTAGAGACAAATCGAACGATATCAAGTGGCAATTGACGAATGTCGAATATCCTCGCGTTCGTACAAGTTCAATAAACACACGAGCGGATTCGATAGTAGACACACGTTGCTATCTAGTTTACACCGACATTTCTTCTTCTCTCTACGTTTTAAAAACCAAGGGAATTCCTGATGGCTGATCGCGGACGAATCGATTTCCGATCGTGGAAGTCGGACTAGGAGAAGCCTCGCGCATCCAACCCGATCGAAATTGCCTCGACAATCGAGGCGACCCAAGCATTGTTTCCCAATCGAATCCATTGTTTCCTGTGTCGCAAGCTCGTCGGCATCAATCATCGCCTCTGCCACTAACAATCCTACACCCGCAGGACGTTGTAACGAACCGAGAGGAGGACCTCGCGAGTTGATCGGATTGGAGGAGCACGGAACAAAAGCCACGAAGCGTCGCTAGCTATGCGAGTACATTTACCTTGCCCATTGAAGACGCGGCTAATCGATTATATAGTCTGTTTGCTTCGTGATCGATGAAAGGCCAAAGCCGACGCGAAATTTGCATGTCAATTGGTGCATCGCTCGGAAAGTGTCAATAAAGAGGACCCGCTTACTTCTAAGATGATTCTTGTTCGTCAAGGATAGAAGACAATTTTTCTTTTCTTTATTTTTTTTTTCTCTCTCTCTCTTTTTTTTTTTTTTTAACGTCCCTTATAAGATATCTCTATTATGGCGTCAAATAAATAGAATTTCATTGATCGAATAAATGACATTAACAAATTAATAAAATATCTAATACGAATGAATAAATAAATGTTATCAGACAAGAATTATCGGACAAGAATTTCAATGAAAATTTCATTAACGAATGAAATTACTAAAGTGTGTTGTTTTCTTTCGGATATTACAACGTTCCGCTTTTCCTTACTCCACTACTACTTCCTCTCTCGTTTTCTTAGTAAAGCCCGTTGTTAATTAATCTGATTACAATCCTACCGTCTAAGTTCACACCGATAAATAACATTTTAATTGTAACTTTTACAACGTATAACTTTACCTAACTTGCTTTCAGTTTCAGTAATTCGTCCCTTTCGTTTCTCTCTTTAATGTGCGATCGACGTTGTTGCAGGGGGATCGTGTCGCAAGTTATACGACACGTGAATTATCATCTCCGATTTCGTAAACGAATTTTCATCGTGATAATAGTGCCCTCGGCGTACAAAGATAGATAGATAGATAGAGATAAAGATAGATAGATAGATAGATAGATAGAGAAAGAGAGAGAGAGAGAGAGAGAGAGAGAGAGAGAGAGAGAGAGAAAGGACTGTAAATTAATTAACGAGAAACTCGATTAAAACATATCCGGCAATGTGTAGAACACAATGCTTTTGAATTTTGCCACGGGCTTACGAGTCGCCGCCAAACCAGTAAACAAACGAGCTATAATCGAAACGATATTGGTTGGTCAAAAAAGAGAGAGAGAGAGAGAGAGAGAGAGAGAAAGAGAGAGATACATAAAGAATAACGCACAGTACTGCTGTAAAACGCGTTGAACGATAGTAATTAACGTTTGACGATACGGTAGACGTTGCCTTCAGAATCGCTATAGTAATTATAGATAGAAGTGTTTATTTTCAAAAGGGAGAAACGTACGATAAATTTAAGTGAAGATAACAAGAGGGGAAATTTAATATGCAAAAAGTTTTAAGGAAAAGAAAGAAAATTGAAAAGTAGTAGTCGAAAAGCAAATGCGTCCAGCAGCAGTCTAACCTGAAAGAAAGAAAGAAAAAAAAAACGCAAAAAAAAGAAGAAAAAGAAGAAGAAAAAGAAGAAGAAAAAGAAGAAGAAAAAGAAGAAGAGAAAGAAGAAGTCTCTCTGTGAGAGAACTGTAATTCGACGCTTTGATGGATCAAAGAGACATCGCGGCGTTGTTACAGGAAACACCATTCGTCCTTTTTCCTTTCCCACGGGTTTGTTTCCTGGCATTGGTACGATGTCAGCATCTCTATCTCGTCTTCTTCTTCTTCTTCTTCTTTTTTTTCTTCTTCTTCCTCTATCATCTATCGTCTTTTGCTCTATCGAAAAGAGGAATGCTCCCCTAACAAACCTAAAGGAAGAAAAGAAAAGCGCGAGAAACATCCTATCGGAGATCTTACCTCTCCAGAAGCTACGGCTTCGCCTGGAATAAAGAGTTCCGGGTAAATGTTGTCTAGGTACCACTTAAACGACTTGCATCCGAGTTTTTTCCTCAGGGCTTTTCGTTCCGATACGTCCCCATAGTTACCCTGAAAAATCGTAAATCATAAGTTCGAAAAGTTTACCTGCCGAGATGCTTACTCGGCTGAAAAAGAAGGAAGAAAAAGGAAAAGAGAAAGACTTCAGGGAAGAGGGCACACGAGGGGAGTGAGGACAAGAGGAAGAAGAAAAAGAGAAGGAGGATCTTTACACTTCGATGAACAAAAACCCAAAGCTCTTCCAAATGCAAGATGAAGAACAGATGATCTTGTACGGTACTTCAGCGATAACTAAGATTTTAATTAAAGTTAATCCCGCGTATTTTCGAATTATGAATATACGAATAAACGGTGTTATTTTGAGAGCTCTTAAAATTAAATGATAAGATCGTTTTACATTCTTGTTAGTTGATAATTTTATATACTCCATCGACGAAGACGATCGATCGATTAAATCGTTATATATCATGGAACAATCAGTTTAAGTTTTAGTACATTTTCTATTTTCATTTCTATAATTTCTCATTAATAATCAATACCAAGATAATCGTTATGTTATATATATATATATATATATATATATATATATTATTTAGAAAATAATCCTTTTACGATTCGATTCATAATTTGACGAACGATCGTGGCAAACGTTCAATAACAAATTATGATCGAGAAATCTCCTTTGTCGTTTCACTTGTCTTCCTTTATTTATCGCTCGAGAAAGGATGTCAATGTGAAAATCGGAAGACGTATGTACATCGTTGGTCGTCAAGAAGTTCGAACTACCGGCGCAATCCATTTTATTTGATCACTTCGGCCCATCGATCGTGGCAGGCCCGAAGACAAGGAACGAATGAAGATCGACGATAAACGATAAATCGTTATAGCCAGGAGTAGAAGAAGCCAAGACAGGCGAGTTATCTTTACTCGAACCTTCCTCGATCGTTTACGGTTTCCTTTTTACGAGAAGTCTCGAGTCATGCTCCTTTCCATCATCGACCACTTGTGTAGCTTATATCGTTGTGTTTCATATATGTGTGTATATATATATATATATATACGTGTACACTATATCTTTCTCTCTTTCTCTTTCTTTCTTTCATTTCATTTCTTCGTTTTCGTTTTTTTCTTCTTCTTTCCTTTTTTTTTTCTTTTCTTTTTTTTGTTTTTTTTTTTTTTTTTTTTTTTAAACGAAGCAAAAAATTAAAAACCAACGATCTATGCGGTCTCATAAAATTTTCATCAATTTCACTTGGAATCTCTTTCCGCAGAAACATCCATGATAAATCTTGCAAGCATTGTCACCCTCGAGAGAACTCGTATGTCACATTTCACGAAGTTAAGCAGCCACACGTAGCTTCTCGTAAACGAAAACCGAGAAAGTAGTAGAAAGAGAAGGAGAGATAGAGAAAGAAAGAGAAAAAAGGAGGAAGGGGGAGAGAAAGAGAGAGAGGGAGAGAGAGCGAGAGAGAGAGAGAAAAGCTAAAAACCGAGCGGTAGAAAGGTTATTCAAGCAGCAAAAGAGAAGTGCTCACCTTGTCGTGACCTATCCTTTGGTAGTAGTACTTAGCGTACTCGTCCAACCACACTTCACTCAACCTTATGCTATTCCTCTTAAGCACGTTCACGCCGCTACGCCACTTGTAAGGGGAACGCTTCCTGAAGATATGACCCACGTGCGAACACGGCACGATTTCCAATGTGCCTAAAGGACCAGTTTACTTCGTATTAAGATTTAAAAAAAAAATTTTTCTTTTCTTTTTTGGGGAACACCAAAACTAAAATATTATCGCGAATCAATAATCAATCAAAGTTTGATAAGATTTATATCGTTCGTATCTGAAATTTGAAATAATGATATTACCTCCGCACATCCAAGTCTTGAAGGACAGCTCGAGATTCTCACCGCCCCAGATATCGAATCCGCTGTCATATGTACCGAGTTTCTCAAAGAAAGCACGATCTATCGAGAACAAACCACCCGCCATCGTTGGCGACCAAACAGGCTCCGCTGGATTCTTATGCTTTTTCTTCTCTCTTTCCGGTACCGCGTGCCAGTTGAACTGATTAAAAAACCAGAAAAGAAGGTCGTAAACTTGGACAGACTATTTAGCATAACGACGCTCTCGCGAAATGAAAAAAAAAAGAAAAAAAAAAAGAAGGAAAAAAAAGAACAAGAAAAGAAGAAAAAAGAAGAAAGGAAGAAAGAGAATTTCAACTACCAATTTTTTAACTTTTGTTTCCTTTTTCTTTCTTTCTTTCTTTCTTTCTTTCTTTCTTTCTTTCTTTCTTTCTATCTTTTTTACTTTTTGCTTCTTTTTTAAAAAAGAAAAGATTATATTACTGAAAGATAAAGATGAGGTAATTCACGTTATACAGTTCTTAGTCTTAATAGACGTTTTCCAATTAAAATTCCTTCGAACGTCTCTGAAAGGAAAAGGAAACGGAGAATCTCACTTCGCTTACTCACGTTTCCATCTCCGGATTTATCCGGACAGTTTCCTTCTCGCGCAATCGTTACTTAAATTAAAGTCAAGCCTGGATTGGTTTACCTGAAGATTCCAATCGAACCCACCGACGTTCACACCACCTGAGTCCCTCCAATGGTACTCGAGTGTAGTGTCATCGATAACATCGATCACAGGACAAACTACCGTCGTTGGATCCCGTGCGATTCGATCCAAAAGAGGTTCGAGCCATCCTTCGGTACACTCACAGTGACTGTCCAAATAAGTGAGGACCGGTGCCTTGGCAGCGGATGCACCAAGTAGACGAGCTCTGATCAAACCTTCTCGTTTTTGAGCACGAATGATCTTCACCTTTGGATAGTTCATCATGTAATCTTCCAACTGCCGTTTCAGATGAGCTGTCGAACGATCGATCAATGATTTTTTTCTTTTCTCTTTTTTTTTTTTTTTTTTTTTTTTTATTCCTTTCTTTCTTTCTTTCTTTCATTTTTTTTCTTTTATCAAAAAGAGGAACAAAAGAAAACAAAGAAAGAAAAAAAAAAACGAATACAAGTTTCAAAAAGCCAATATTTCTCTATTGTTCGATATCCTGTTTCATTGAATTTAATTAAAAATACAATGGGAAACGAAATAAAGATTTTTTCTATTCATTTGGAATTTATTCTAGACGCACGCACGCACACACGCATCTAACCGTATATTTTCCAATTTACGATTTAAATTTCGCATTTCGATTGAGTACATGTAACAGGTTATTTACACGTTAATAAATTGAAACTACTCAAACAATCAACACTGTTCGAAATATGTACATATTTCTCAGGAATTCGGTATATGTTCTAAAATATTTAATGATATGTATTGATGGCGTATAATAAAGGCAATATTATTTTGTCGAATTGTTGCCTTTGTAAGATTTAATACAGATCGTAATATTTATAAAAATTATATTAACTCATAAATCACAAAGACTGTTGTGCAAATGAAAAAAAAAGAACAAAAGAAAAAAAAGAAAAAAAAAAGAAACAGTATTTGCGATTTTTTTGACATTCATACAATTGAATTTGTCTAGAGAACTTCTACCAAATGTAATAGTTATAAAACGATATTCTCGTTCGGAAACTTATCTATATTTTCTTTATTTTCGTAAGAAAAAAAAAAAAATTAAATAACTCTTTTATATTTTCATGAGATATTAATTTCGATGATGAAAAAAAAATCGGTACTCCATTATATACACTATTAATGAACATAATATTTCCTTGTTCCCGACAAACTGTTTATATTTCATTAAAATATATTTGATTTAAACGTTTTCTTTAGATAATGGAAAAAACTCGAATATATATAAAATTAAAAAAAAAAAATGTTAATGATTCTGTATCCTAATATCTAACATAGACTGACCGTACAAAGATACAACGATCGTACACGATATTTAGATTTATGAGGATACGGGTGACCGCAGAAGTGCGCTTCAGAAGGCCGAAGTAATTAGTGGACGTCCCTTGATTTATTCTACGTTACAATAGCTTTGCAAGAGAGCCAGGATGGTGATCCTAAATCTACACGGTCTAAGCTCGCTTGACTATGGATATGGTTTATAAAGGGATTCCGTTCGCGGATCGTTGTGACCCGCGCGCTATCTTCCATTCCTGTTTGCTCTATGGAAATGGCCAAGGAAATCGATAAAATCCTCGGAATGTTCGCGACGCGGTTGAACTTACATTGAGCCCGCATACCATTTGCATCTTTGAACGAATAAGAAGAATAAGTAGAGGAAGAAGAAGAAGAAGAAGAAGAAGAGGAAGAAGAAGAAGAAGAAGAAGAAGAGGAGGAGGAAGAAGAAGAAATCAAAGAAACATGGATAAGGCTTACAGCACCCACTCCCAATTCTTTTCTTTTTTCACTTTCGTAACGAGGAAAAATTTGCTCTCTGAATAACACCATTTTCTATTTTTTTCTTTTTTTTTTGTCTTTCTGTCGTCTGACTCGTCAGAATGATGTAAATGATGACGCACAAAAACGAGGAAATTTTATTAACACACACCTGCGTGGACTGACACAAATTGGATTTTGATGTAAATGTAAAATGCGTTTTTATGCCATACCTTTTCTGCGGTACAATAAAGAAGATTGACTACCTCTAACGTTCCTTTTATTTTTTTTTATTTTTTTTTTATTTATTCTTTTTTTTTGTTCTTTTTTAATTTTTCTTCTCTTTCCCTTCAATTTTTTTCTTTCCCTCTCTCTCTCTCTCTCTCTCTCTCTCTCTCTTTCTTTTTCCTATTTTTTCTTTTTTCTATAAATACATCTAAAAATAATGACAAAGTCGATAAGTTTTAAATTTTAATAAGATTAAAAGGAAACCGCGCGATAAATTGTTTAATGTGAAATATAAAAAGTTCGAAGGAAATTTTATTTAACAAAATTTTTTTTTGAATCAACTCGCGTGTTCAAAACAAAGCTGCCGCTTTCGTGACGTGCAATTGAACGACGGTAACATGGAAATCGTAGAAAATAAAGAGAGAGAGAGAAAAAGAGAGAAATAGATAGATAGATAGATAGATAGATAGATAGAGAGAGAGAGAAAGAGAGAGAGAAGGAACTTTATTATCTCGTTTCTATGATAAAATTATCAGTTGGTCCGTATCAGTAATCACAGTTACGTAAGTTCGCGTTGGTTCCCCCTATACAAAAGTCCACGCGAGTATGTTTATGAAGCCCACTTCCGGTCACTAAGGCAGCTTATCTCGAGCTTTTAAACGAAACTGCTAGCACGACCAATTCCTTTTCTTCTATTTTCGTACTCGTTTTTTTTCTTTCGTTATCTCTTTCTCTCTCTCTCTCTCTCTCTCTCTCTCTCTCTCTTTCTGTTTTTGTCTACAGATATATGTGGGACGTACATTTCTAATCTTCAACGATCTCGAAAAACCATCAATGTTGTGATTTCCCTTTTGTAGTCTTTATTACGCGAAAAAAACGATTCAAATGAATGAAGGAGAAAAATGTGGAACATTAAAAGTAAAGAAACAAAAGAAAAAAAAAAGAAAAAAAAAGAAAGAAAGAAAAAAAAAATAATAATAAGAAAAAAGAAAAAAAAGTAACTTTCTTTTATATCACACGAAAAGCAGATAGCATATAGGGATCGATGCGTATTGACATTTAAAAATTTTCTATCGAAATATGATACGGGAATGGATATACAAAGGCAGGAAACGAGAGAAAGAGAAAGAGAGATAGATATATATATATATATATAAAGGGAGATCCGATTCTATTCATATCAAGCGTGGTTACGTTTCGACTGTACCAAAGAGAGATATATTGCAATTAATCGATCTATCCTGAAACCATAGAGTGACGCGAAGTTAACGAACGTTTCGACTGAACAAGAATACTCTAATAATCACATATTATTATCATCATCATCATTATCATCATCATTATCACCATCATCAGTATCATCTCGATATTAATCTTAATATTATTTGATTTCTATATATCTACGTATATTGACGTTATCGAGTATATCGTACTAATAAGTATCTTCTTTAATATAAGATGGGATTAATTAGGATTTATTATAATTAAAATTTTTTTTTTTTTTTCAATTACTTACGCATATCCGAGAAATCATCAACGAGAATAATCTCTTGTATCAGCTGATCCGGTGATCTGTCCAATACCGAGTGGACTGTCCTTAACAAAACCGACCAGGCTTCGTTGTGAAAGCAAATAATTACTGCAGTAGGCGGTAGATCCTTCAAATATCTTCCAGGTTCTTTACACCTGCATAATAAAAAAAAAATAGAGAACATCGTTATGAATTCAAACGACGATTCAATGAAAAATGACGGAAAAAATGATTAATTTGTTATTCGTGATCCTATCTACGATAAATCGGAATAACTATAAAGAAGAATAATAACACGAAGGTATTTCGTTTTTTGCTATTAAATAAAAAATATTTTAATGATCTTATTCAATAAATAGCATATTAAGTATACGATAATATATTTCCAATGTATGATAAATAAAAATATATTTTTAAATGATCTTCCGTAATAAATTGTATAAGTAAAATATATTATAATATATTTTAAGTGTATGATAAAGAAAGATTAAGTGTATGATAAATAAAAATATATCTAAATGATCTTATGAAATAAATTGCTTATTAAGTTATATATGATAATATCAAGCGGAGAATTAAAATTTTTGGATTTTCTACTTTGAATCCTTACTTCGCTTAAATTCAGATTTTTCTCCTCCCATGGAAATCACCCTTAAACTTACAGAGTTACTTTTCACAGAGTGGAAAAGAAGTTACTGTGCTCAGCGTAAGAGAAAGTCGTCGCGTTTCTCATTCGATATCCGTACTTGATTCTCTCTCTTTTTGTCGTTCTCATCCCTCTTCGGCTTCGTCACCGTCAGCTTCCCACAATTCTCCCTCTCCCTCAACCCTTCTTTCTCCCTTTCCGCAATAGGACTCTCCTTTGTCGTCGGAAAAGAGGATATCGATGTTCAACGTTAAACGAGTAGAAACGATCGAACCGTTTACCGGCTTAAAGCAACTTTCCACTTTATTCATCTCCCCTGATATTTCATATTCAACATTTATGACATATGCATATATATGCACGCGTACACATACACACACACACACACACACACACACATATATATATGCATGCAAGTCGAATATCTAAAAATAATTTTTATATCTTCGTCTTAACGAAATCTCATAATATATTTCATACTCGTATAGTTTCATATTAATTCGATGGAATAAAATTATGATAAATACATTTGATGAACGCTCCTCTCTTTATTTTTATTTCAATCAATAAATGTTTTCAAATGACTAAGACGTTAATGACGTTCTTCTTTGTCTTCATTTAATATTCGTTTTCTAATTATAAAAACATTGAAAACTTGATAATCCGTAAGTTCGAGAGAGAAAGGGTTGTCTTCTTATTCTTGTAATATATTCCAACTTAAAAGATCGGTGATAGTTGATAAGACTATCGATCTGAATCCACGCTACATTTGACATTTATCGGAAATGGAAGGTTCGGATAGGACGGAGAAGGGTCGGTCTTCTCCTCGTTTATTTCAAATTCAAGTCATAACGCTTACCTCTAAAATGTTTTGCTCGATCAGCGAAGAAAATAGATCCTTCTTTCGAGAAAGCTGATTTTTGATCCTTATCTATGAAAATTTATGTGAATCATGTTTCTGCTGATAAAATAATACTTTCCCAGCACGAAATGAAAGATGTACAGTTTCAATTTCAAAATTTGAGTTTTTGGAAGATAAGCCTCGATCTATCTTCGGCTATTCTTTCCCATCGATTATGTTTCACTGTGGCATTATTCAATATACATTTTTCTTTCTTTTCTTTTTTTTTTTTTTTATAACATCATCTCATTTCTTTTCAAGCCTTTTCATAATTGAATTATCGAAAATCAAGGAGATATGGATCCCAAGATTCATATTTTTTATTCTCAAATTTTACTCTCTCTCTCTCTCTCTCTCTCTCTCTCTCTCTCCCTCTCTCTCTCTTAAAAGCGCATGATAAGAAATTCGTAAAAAATGAATATCTATGTAAAATCGATAATCATTCATTCTACCTTGATTCTTCCTTTTCTCTTTTTTTCTTTTCTTTTTTTTTTTTTTTTTTTTTTAATACGTTAAGTAAAATTCAAAATATGTACAACTCTGTCTTTTTTTTTCACATCCGAAACTACCGTTGACTTTTCAAAATGTCTCAAAGAATTAATAGATTGACATTATTTAATAAGCTTTTAATTAATACGATCGGAAAAATAAAATGGAAGGTAAGCAACAAAAGAAAGTTTATTGGATATCGTATCCGTGTATACTTCGGTGAAGAAGAAAGAAAAGACAAAAGGAAAGGAAGATTAATGTTTCAATTAAAAGAGGGCAAAAATACAATACTCGTGAGTGCAGGGTTCTACGAAGCCTCGTAAAGATTCGGTAATGGGCCGAGGCTCTGCAGACTTTCGGATATATGTATAGTGTTCTACTAACGTGGAGGATGTCCATGATAAAGTGTTTCTCACCTCGCACGGAAAGTTCCACTAACGTGGTAACCTTTTGTTCATGTATATGCACTATTACACATCTATTACACATACACACAACTATTACACATATATGCCCACCCTTTTCCATTCGTGTAAACAAAACTAGAACATACAACTTTCGTGATTTTCCACACGCGAGAGCATGAACAGAATAAGCTTCGTTTCCGTGATAGTCGACGAACGGTTTTCGAATTATTATTCGAATGTCTAACAACAACACCGAAGTGATAAGAAAAGTGTTTAACAAGCGTTCTATACGAGGGAACATCCTAAAAAGTAAAATCTTTCAAAGAACAAATCGATATTAATCTCTGTGGAACATTTTAATTATGAGACATGTTTTATTTATTTTTTATTTATTTTTTTTTTTTTTTATTTTTTTTTTTACTTATGAACAATTTACCCTAAATATTTTACACCCTATCGATTTTCAAAGATTAGGATGAAAAACAAATGTTCGTTTTAAGGATATCACTTTGTAGGGGATACTTTTTATAAAAAATTTATAAAAATAATATTAATCCAAGAAAATAATGGATCATAGTATTTATCAATATTTTAACAACGTTTATCTCGTATCCCTAATTAATTGTTAAAGACATCAATGATATAACAATGATTAAGGTTATAAATAGAAAAAAAATAAAAAAAAAAATAAAAAACGAAAACGAAAAGAATAACTCTGAAAATGATTCAATAATATTCCGTCATCGTTCCTCGCGATATCCGCAAAACAATTTAATATGTTTTCATTGATATCACTGAATTATGAGAAGCACTGATAATCGTTTAACTGCAATTCAAAGCAACAAAAGAAAATGTATTCCATTAATCGTATCTCCTTGTTGCTTTCAATCATTGTGACTGCTATGATTTTAGAATCGAATTATCGACGATAATAAAGCTCTCAACTTTCTGAATCAAAAGAAATATAATTATTTTATTTCAATACTCTCGTCCTGTGATAATGTCGCCATTGTACATAATCGAGTACTTTAAGAAGCAATCCTTCAATTCTTCGTAAAATTCAAAACGATCTATTATTTCTATGAAATATATTACAAAGTGATATAATATTCTAAAGTGATATCAATATTATATAAAAAAAAATTTTGATGATCTCTATACTTTGTAAATTATAATTTTCAAGTAAGCGAATTAAAATATTTAAAATTTAACATATTCTTCTTCATAAAGAAGATTCTTTTCTTTTTCTTTTACTTTTTATCATTGACGAAGATATAAATTTCAATTAAATTTTAATTAATTCGTCCGACTGATTTAATATTGCTCTTAAATACAAAAAAAAAAAAAAAATCAAATAATACGATTTTATTACTATAAATTTCAATATTTATTCGTATAAACTGTAGATACCTACATATATACAAGATTATATCAAAATTAAATGACGAACAAGAGGATAAAAATACTATAAAGATAATAGAAAAAGGGGGATGAAAAAGGGACTATTATTACGAAGTAAAAATATATTAATTTGACATATATCAGAATAAATTGTTAAGAGCATCGTCGATATGGATCTTCGCAATACGAAGGATAGTTTTCAACGACGCTGAGAGAGGATTGATAAAAGGGAATGATGGATTGTGTTTACTCGTAATAAGTAAACATTCTTCATGCTACATATCGACCTCGTCTCTCTCTCTCTCTCTCTCTCTCTTTCTCTCCCTTTATCCCTCTCTTATCCAATAAAAGAGAACAAGAAAGAGAAGGAGAATAACCACGAGAACGATTCGTATGAGAGTAGTATCACTAACAAGCATTCTCGTTTGCATCCTATTTCTATGAGCCCACGTAAAATCTCAGTACACATCCCTTCTATTCCTATTCCCACTCTCAGTTAATATGTATGTATATATGTATGTATGTGAAAGTGCACGAAAGGATTCGCATACTTGCATTCTATAGATACGAAAACGATATGCGAATCTATTTCGAAGTTATGTCAGTGAGATCTAAGTGATGTTAGTCTAATACCAATAGAAAGGACGAGTTTCACGAACAGATTCATTAATAAACGAGCATTGTTTTCATCATCTCTCAATTCGTGTGTGTAAAATCGTATCGCTTTCTCTCTTTCTCTCTCTCTCTCTCTCTCTCTCTCTCTCTCTCTCTGTCTCTTGATTTACAAACTCACTTTTCTTTTAGCATTTTATATAATGATAATTATATTAACGATTGCTTGGATTTCACATGAAATAAGATCAGGCGAGAAAAATATGATTTAATATTTATAATTTTTTATGAAGAAATCTCGTTTATGTTGTATCTCTCTCTCTCTCTCTCTCTCTCTCTCTCTCTTTCCTGTCCCCCTCTCTCTCTCTCTACTCTTGGCGCTAAAAGCTTGTTATAAATAAGCAAACTTTGAGTTCGACGTTCGCTTGAGTGAAGTTTTTGGGTGAACTACGAACGAAAGGAAAGAAGATACAAGAAGAATAAGAAGGATAAGGCTCGTTATCCTCGCGTCTGGATAAACTGTCATGAGAGAGAGAGAGAGAGAGAGAGAGAAGGAGAGAGAGAAGGAGAGAGATAGAAGACGTAGATAAGGAGAGAAGATGGGGAAGAAAGATGGAGATAGGCAGAGAAGGAACTAACGTAATTATCAGCATCCCCAAACAATCGCCCTCGTTAGCCATCGTCCAAACTATTACTTCG